AAGGATGGAAATGCCCTTCATTTTGTTTGCACTAATAAATGCTGCTGCCTGCCAGCTGCAATCACAAATAAAACGTTTTTCCATGTTTTTTTTCCATTTATAGTCATAAATATCGTTATCGCAAATATTCTTGAAATATCGTGACAATTTTGAGGCTATATCGCCCACCCCTAACGCATACATATATATATAAGGCTACAAAACGATTAATTATGCTGCTGCCTGCCAGCTGCAATCACAAATAAAACGTTTTTCCATGTTTTTTTTCCATTTATAGTGATAAATATCGTTATCGCAAATATTCTTGAAATATCGTGACAATTTTGAGGCTATATCGCCCACCCCTCACGCATACATATATATATATAAGGCTACAAAACGATTAATTGGGATTAATCGCATTCAAAATAAAAGTTTGTTTACATACTATATGTGTTAGTACTGTGCATTTTTATTATGCATATATAAATACACACACATACTGTACATGTATATATTAAGGAAAATATGTTAAGATTTATAAAAGAGAGATAATAATAGAGACAGACAGACAGACAGACAGACAGATAGACAGATAGATAGATAGATAGATAGATGGGGTGGAACGGTTCAACTTACTCACGGTTCGGTTTATATCACGTTTTAGGTATGGTTCGGTATGTGCTATGGTTAGGGAAAAACTATACTGTCAAATAAAAATAAAGAAAATAAGAATAATCTATCTAACTACAAGCAACAGCACAAATAAATACAATAGAGTAAAGATACAAATAAAATAAACAGATTTTCAGTTTTTTTTAGGTAGGTCTAACAGTTTTCAGGTACAGAAATTGAATAAAGTAATGAAATGTAAAACAGCATTGCATATTTGACTGTATAAATTAAAGATTAATCTTTATTAAAGTTACAAAAGCTATTCAATCAAGAGCAGTGAGTGATTTCTTTGTTGTTGCTGTTTGATTAATATTAAGAAAGTGCTGTCACTTTAAGAGAATGCACTGATACAGTA